GCTGCTCCTGTAGCTCCTTCCGCCCCCCACCCTCCCCCCCATAGCTTGATCACTGCTTCGTCTGCAGACCTCCCCGACGGGCTCCTGGGTTCCAGGGGGCTGCCTTGCCTCCGGCCTGGCTTTCCGATCAAGATCACGGTCGCAGGCAAGGCGGCTCCTGGGTTCCGGGGGTGCCACCTTGCCTGTGGCCTGGCTTCCCGATTGCGATCACTGGCTGGGGGGCGCCTTTGCCCTGCCACCCGGCTCTTGCCTGCCGCCTGGGTTTCCGATCACCGCGCTTCCGTCCTTCCCCTTTCGCCTCCCATCACTGCGCCTACGTATGCAAATTAACCGCCATCTTTCTTGGCAGTTAATTTGCATATCACCCTGATTAGCCAATGAGAAGCGTAGTGAAGGTACGGTCAATTACCCTGTTTGTCTTTTATTAGATAGGATATCCTCCTTACAAACTTTCCAACCAAGTCTCGTGTTCCCCAACAACCAAAGTCAAAATTGATTTAAACTGCTTTGAGTGTATTAAAAATTCTGTAAAATTTATTATGCCTCCCACCCCAATATAGTACCTCAAGGTAATTGAAATAGTGTAATACTTGTTCCCTACCAGACTGCTAAGGATCATCAGGGGCAGAGCCATGCCCATCTTTTTCACTACTGTATTGTCAGTGCCTAACCCATTGTACACTCCTTGACCAGATCTCATATAAGGGAGGGTACCTAAAGGTTACAAGGAACACTTTTCTTAACCTTAAGGCTTGGCAATGATCCAGGAATCATGCTCTAAATTTGTCCTATTATTTGCTGACCTTTGATTTGAAGTGAAGAGACCCTAGACAATTTTATGTAGGGAGAGGGTATGGCAAGAGAAGGGGAAGCTAATATGGGGTAGTATGGTAGTTAAAATTACAGGAGTTATCAGTGTTTTAACCACAACCAAGTAAATAAGAAGGTATGAGGAAACCTGCACAGGTAAGTGTAAACAAAGGTCAACAGATTTCCTTATATGCAAAATAAATGAACTGAATCCAGTAGCTAGTAGGTGCTCATTTTTAGCATCAGTAATCTGGGGAAGAAGTATTGTTAGAGATCAGAAACCAAATGATCAAAACACTAGGGAGATAGACCAGCTTACTCTGGATTCTCATGCAAAAGGTCAAATTATATGGAAGGTCACTCCTAATTTTGCTGATATTATGATCTCCAACTAAAATGCCAACTAAGAGAAAGCAAGTCAGGGTAGAGAATACTCCTCTCCACCAAGTTCCTTACAAAGTAAAGGTAAAGTCAAGATTCTTAGAGGATCACCCTGGCTGGTGTGGCTCAGTTGGTTGGGTGTCTTCCCATGCATTAAAAGGTTTCTGGTTCAATTCCCAGTCAGAGTACATGCCCAGGTTTCAGGCTTCATAACCAGTATGAAGCGTGCAGGAAGCAGCTGATATCCCACTCTCACATTGATATTTCTTTCTCTCTCCACCCTCCTTTATATAAAAAAAGATCAATAAAAATATGGAAAAAGATTCTTGGAGGCTGTTATTTTAATAAAGAAACAGGCCTCTACTTAGAGATGAATTCTACATGAATTAGAATTTTACTTCCCTTTAAGAGGCCTGCATGTACCCTGGCTGGTGTGGCAGTTGGGTGTACTGAAAGGTTGCCAGCTTGATTCCTGGTCAGAGCACATGCCTGGGTTGTGGGCTTGATCTCCGGTAGGGGGCATGCAGGAAGCAGGCGATCGATGTTTCGCTCTTACATGAACGTTTCTCTCTCTCTAAAAATCAATTAAAAAAATCTTTTTTAAGAGGGAGGCCACGATTTATTTACCTAGCTAACATAACCATAAAAATTATAAACAGTAGGTGCTTGATAAATCTGTAGAAACAATTTTCAACTTCTATAGCAACAAAGGCAGACAAGATTCTCATATAGGAAGATGGCAAAAAAACAAAGTCATGAAACTGCTTTGAGTGTATTATAATAAAGGCCCCATCTTACCCAATTTTTACTGCTATTTATACTGATTTTTTCAAGTTGCATATTCAGATTTTACCTGCTTAAGCTAGATTACACATGTGGTACCTGACAGTTTTATTATACTTTTTTAAAAAAAATTCTTTATTAGTTATTACAAATGTGTCCTCATCCAGTTTTATTATACTTTAGTGTAGGAAAGCAATTTTCAACTATTTTCATCTCATGGCATATATAAACTAATTACAAAATTTCTGCAGCATAACAAAAAATATTTATTTTTGATAATCTGAAAAACAGGGTATAATTTTGATCCAGTCACACTGGATGGCTATTGTGTTGGCTGTTGTCATTTAAAATTTTTAAAAAATATATATTTTTGATTTCAGAGAGGGAGATGGAGACAGAAACATCAATGATGAGAGAATAATTGATCAGCTTCTACATCAACAAAAGGCAGATAACATTCTCCTTTAGGAAGATGGTAAAAACAGAGTTATGAAACTCCTGCACCCCTGGACCTGGAATCGACTATGACCTCCTGGTTCATAGGTCAATGCTCAACCACTGGGCAAAACTGGCTGGGCTGTTGTCAATTTTTTTTTTTTTTTGTATGTATACAAGTCCTTTGGTTGTCATCTTTAAATTTGACATTCTAAGGGAAAAGAGGTCACTGCTCTTGACTAGTCAGTCAGGTATTGCATGTTTTAAAAATGCTTGTGGCACAACAGTGTGCCGTGGGACTCCAGTTGAAAAATCACTGGTGTAGGAGAATGCTAGTGACAAATAGGATTTAAGATTGTCCAAATCTTTTTATGGAGAACTTTTGATATTATCAATACAATTTCTAAAAGATGAACTAAGTAGATGAGTTCCAGAAGTTTGGTCAAGAAAACAAAGAAAAACCTTGTAGTCAGATATCTTGTTGAAGCTTCAGCCATTTAACGTGGATTTCACTTAGACTACTTAGGGTCCTTTATAAACGCAGATGTCTTGATTTTTTAAAAAATATATTTTTATTGATTTCAGAGAGGAAGGGAGAGGGAGAGAGAGAGAGAAACATCATTGATGAGAGAGAATCATGGATCGGCTGCCTCCGGCACACCCCCTAGTGAGGATGGAGCCTGCAACCCAGGCATGTGCCCTTGACCGGAATCAAACCTGGGACCCTTCAGTCTGCAGGCCAACGCTCAATCCACTGAGCCAAACCAGCTAGGGCAGATGTCTTGATTTTTTCAGGACAGTAAGTAGAATAAAATGGATGAAATTTAACAAATCAGAAATACCTAATTCAAAGTTCAAAAATTCCAAACTATTCCTTCCCAATTAGTATATCTTCACAAATGTTAGATTTAAGCTTTCATCACAATTATAAAGCAAGCCATAATTCAAGATTTAAAGTTGAGGCTAAGTAGAGATTGCTTCATATTAACTTTATGCTCCCAATTATTTCCGGAGCAGACTTTGATTCAAGATAAACAATTTTACCTAAGAAACCAAATGTTCTAAATTTATAATTGGAAAGGTTGAGAATTTCTGCCCCAGTAAGATTATTCTGACTTTACGTTTCTGTGTTCTATCAAGATAACTACATTTAAAAATCTTACTCAAGCTCTTTTATCCATATGGCTATGTTATTTTGGCTGTAACTAGGACTAAATTCCTGTGGTACAGCTTTATAAGGCAAGTCCAATTTTGGATACTCTGCCATGATTTATTCCCTGAAAAATTCTTAGGCTCATCATTTCTACTCACTACTGTAACCCAATTCCCAGGAATATTCAACTCACACAGCTAGAAATGTACTAATCTGGGAGACAGATTACTATATACCCAGGCATAAAACTCAACATAAGAGCAAAACTTTTAGACCCACTCCCTATTTCTTTTACATTCTGAATAACGATAAAGTGCAATGCTTTCTAACCCTTATGTAGGAAATTAAGCCCTAGAGAGTAAGGTAACAGAATCTTTTTATTAAACCTGCCTTTATTGTCAACAAAGCCTAAAATTTTCTCCAAGTATAATGTGGAGTCATATTCATTGATCTCCACTTCCCAGTATTAATGTCCTTGGGTATTCCTCATTGTACCTAGTTGGTACAATGGTTGGTCTCTGTGACCAGCGGAACTTGGCCGAAGTTATTAGCATGTCACTTCTTAAGATAGCTCATACAAAAGCATGGCTTCTGCTCACTTTCTTGAATCATTCGCTCTGGGGAAAGCCAGGTGACAGGAAGGTACTAAATCCCTCCAGGAGCCAAGTGAATGAGTGAGCCATCTTTGAAATGACTCCTGCAGCCCTAGTCAAGCTTTCAAGATGATGTAACCCTGGCTGACAGTTTCATTGCAACCTCAAGCCAGATCCCAGCTGAGCTGTTCCTGGATTCCTGACTCAGAAATTGTGGGTGATAATACAAGTTTTAAGCTGCTAAATTTGGGATAACGTGCTACACAGGGATAACTAAGACATCAGGCAAAGACCATCCACTGTTTCTTGAATGGAATAAATAAAATTTGAATTATAACACTTTTGACTAAGATAGTAAACACTGAGTTAATTTTGTTAAAGACAAAATTTTAAATCCATGTTTGATGTTCAGTAAAAACAACTTAAAGAGCAACTAACTCATTCAACTATTAAGACTCCTTCCTCACTGCTAACAAAAAGAAAAAATTTTGAATATATTACCATCTGTAGTGAATGCATACCACTAATGAGATCACAGCCTAAAGTGTCAGGTATCTTTAACAATTACATTCAAAATATAGCAGCAGAAAGAAGACAACTCCTTGAATCTTTTTCTCTCATTGAGACTGAACTGCAGATACTGGACAGTGTTTCTAGCAAGTTCCAAAAGGTCTGAATTAGGAGGCTTTGATTAGACTTTGGCTATTTTAGATTTCAAAGAAATGAAAAAGTATTTCAAAAAACAAATTGGGAAATAGTAAACAATGACTACCTATAGCTGATCTCAAAATTCAACACAAAGTAGTGTGTGTGTGTTTTTTGACATATGCAAACATCACAGATTATTACTAGAACATCACATAAGTTTATTTCAGATGTAACAGCAATGTTAAAATCAACAAATTTAATTCTTAACTGCACCAAGTAAACTTAGCCATTTAAGTACTTTTAAAGTTATTCCCTCCAAAAAACTGAGGGAGCTTTTCTTTTCCACCCCACACACCATGGTTTCCCAATAGTTCTGTTTTTGGAGGACTTTCAATTGATGAGTAAACTGCTTTGGTGATATTTCAGAACTTCTTTCCCCATATGAAAACTAATCTGGACAAATTATATATTGCATAGATTTCTCTACAGATTTTTTTCTTTAGAACCCAAATACAATTGCCATCCAGTATAATTTTTTACCTATTCATCCCACGATAAAAACTGTCTGTCCTGAAAAATATGGTGGTTATATCCTGTAATCCAATCATCAAGTTAATAGAATAGTTTTACCTCAATAATAATTTTTATCATATTTCAAAATAACCAACTCAACATGGGGCCTTATTTCAGGCTTTACTGACTCATAAGCATATGAACTAGTGCCCAGCTTCTACCTCTTCTATATCTTCCTCCTCCGTAAGTGGATGGAATTATTTAATACAAGTCTGATGTAGGATGATTAACCCTTTACAAACATTTACAATTTAGGTTAAAGATATTGACTAGTGTGGAAAAAGAAACAGTATAATGATAGGGAGCCTACATACTCAATTCAAAATTTAATATTTTTTCCTCCTTAAATAACATGTACTTAATTGTCATGAGGCAGCTATTCGGTTTTCAATAACAACATTTAGGGATACATTCATAGGACTGATAGTCCAGGTGAAATGGTTATAGAAATAGAGGCAGTGTCATCTCAGAAAACTCATTTATATATCAAAATCTATTTTGATATCTGTAAGTTTACAAAAAGGCTGAATTCTTCAAACTAATTATGCCTTCTGTAACTCAAGCACTCTTTTCTTGGCAAGAGCAAGCGGAAGCTTATCCATAAGGTAAAGGTGCTTAATGCTAAACTTTTATTCTAAGCTTAGATTTAGACTGCTGAAGTAACTGATACCCAGGAAACCAGCATGGTCTTTCTACATTTTTACTATCTTAAGATTAGAACCCTATAAACTCATTCATCAACTATCTTCCTTTTCTGTATTATTGTTGGCACTCAACTAAGACTGCTGAAGTCTATTGTACTTTGTACTTTCACATTCTCAAATAAGAACTTAAGATTATAAAGTGTGTATAAACACTGTGTAAAATAATTTTGTCATTTAACATATTTGGAGAGATGAGACTTTCACAGCAGAATTTACATAAGAGGATAAATATTATGAAACAACCTTCCTTTTAAAGTCAAATGACAGAATCTTCAAACTCTATGCACTATTTTAAAGTCTAGTGAGATCATTTGTTGGGCCACCAATATTGGCAATCATAAAAATTTAAATATTGGAGATGGGACTATGGAGGAAAACAAGATAATTTCAGATGTCTCTTTTCTTACAAAGTTATCAACCTGTCAAAACCACTCCTTATGCACCAGAAAATGATCTGGCATAAACCAGTTCTATCAGTAGAGGTCACAGTGACATTTGCATTGGTAACACTTCTAGACTTTTACTTTTCCAAGAAAGAAGTAATATGTTTAACAATTCTCCCTCCCCCGAATCCTTAAACTTAGTATCATAGGCACAGAATGTAAGCAAATCTGGGATGTTCTCCAACAGATAATAGCACAGCTATGTCGTTCTCAAAAATACTGTCTAGATATTCTTTCCTCATAATCAAATGCTCAGTGGCCACACTTTTAACAGCCTGCATTAACTGACATTAAATGCATTTATTGTGCCACAAGTCCATCTAATCTTATCTTTAAGTATGTTTTAATATGTCCAATAGACAACACCTGCTTCAGGATTCTTTAGGGGTATTGACCTATAAGGACACCAACTCCATTTTTAAGGTTAGACTAACTACTGTGGGTTTACTGAAGAAAGGGGACAGGAGAAAAAAAAAGTAAGTCACAACAAACCTCTTTAGGTCAGTGTTAAAGGCCATATCTTTAGCTGGAATATTGGAAAAAAAATTAATTTCACCAGCTCACACTCTAAAAGTTAACGCCACTAATAACAATCAACAGCAGGAAAAATAAACCTGCTAACAACCAACCAACTCATGAGCAAAAAGCAGTTTAACTCAAATACTGAGACCAAAGTCTAACACTACCTACCCAAACTATCCCACCCACCCTCAGCCACCAATGAGGAAGGAAGAAATAATTGCTTAAACACACACACACACACACAAAATAAGCTTTGTATTTCTTACAAGGATAACAATAGTCCAACTCCTGAGATAGTACTTAGAAGGACAAAAGGTGGAGTTGAAGGCAATGTCTAGGGATTAGTATCCCACAAACAGTCGTGAAAAACCCAAAGTACCACAAACACACTAAACTTGTCTATGATTAGAGAACAAGATATTGCTACTGCTTTTTGTCTTTTGAAATATATAATATTTTGTAGGTTCTGCCCTTCAATGTGAAAGCAGGACATTAAAAAAAGTTAAAAATAAACTGAAATTGATACCCAAATTTTCGGGACCATATATCTTAACTGTGAAATAAACAGATCTATACCTCTCCTTCCTACAGTCAAACCACCTCACAAAAACAAGAAAACAAAAACAACCTAAACATGATTAATTTTGAAAGTATTAAAACTTTTAGAGGAAAGTGAAGGAAAGAAAGGAGGAAAAAAAAGAACAAGGAGGGGGAAAAGCTTCAAAACAAAGGGCTGGGGGGTGGGGAAATCAATGGGCCTCTCTTTTATTTGGCGACAAGCAAGTGCAAGAAAGTTCATTTGTAATTTGTTCAGTTGTCTGTCTTTTGCGCGTCTGCATTCTGGCCAGAAGGAACTTTGAGGTTTTTTTGCAGCACATGAGCATCTGCAGGCTCTATTCTCTTATAGTAGTTCTTCTTGGTCTCAATAATTTCAAAGCCAAACTTTCTGTAGAAGTCAATTGCTGATTCGTTGCTGATCTGGACATGCCTGAGATATAAGAAGTATCAGAAAAAAAAATTACTATTTCATAAGCTTTTATGTGTTCCCCACAGATAGCTTCAAATTGGTTGGAGGTGGAATATTGCTGACATTTGTTAGACTTTCTTTGAAATTACTAGTAATCAACAAAGATTAGGTATTCATTTCAGAAAACCTTCTGATGATAGACTTACACTTTTAACCTAGTTTTTACATTTGCAAGACAGTTGGCTGAGATTAGTGACTCAAGGAATAGTGATTATTCCTAAAATCAACAAAGGGCTAGCTATCATAACATTTTCTATTACAACAAGAGAAGATTTCTATAATTAAAAATGAATAATAACCACAAGGATGACTCAAAGACCACATTAACACACATAGAAAAAAAAAGATAAAAATAAAATATTAGGTCTCAAATGCCTGACTATATCCTTTGTGATTGATATAAAAACATGCTATTTTTTGAAAATAATTTGAGCTTTCTCAATTACTCCTCAAATAGCATTATAACTTAACCTCTCCCACTGTCAAAGTAAAAATGAGAATCTTAATAAACAACCCATTATTATGACCTATCCTTGGCTCTTAATCAGAGGTCTCTTAAGATCTAAGTATAATATCAGCCAGGTACTCTCTGATTTTTATAATTAAACTCTGCTGCTAATGAGCACCTAACTAAGAGACTTTAATCAAAACAGAGTGCAAACTGAGGGTTAAAGTAATATTAATGGATTCTTAAATTTAACAATTTAAATTTTAAATTATTTCATCCCTGTGACTTTGAAGCTCCCACCCCAACATACTAAAGCAAAACAAGAATGTTTTACCTCAGGTTTCTTAATCTATTATTAAAACAAAAAAATAATAACATCATAACCACTACGTCCATGGTGTTTCCAAAGGACAATGAAATAAGTGACCAGAATTAAAAAATTCTGTAAAGATTTCTATTGACAATTTATTAAACTCTTTAGATAATATTAAATATCACTGTACTTACAGATAGATGTTGTCAAAAGTGCCATCTTTTTCACAGATGTTTAAGACATGATTTAACATTTTAGTTCCTATTAACAAGACAAACAAATAAGTAATCTCATAAAGATCAATCTTTAAATTACACATAATGACTATCCTAACACTTACTGAGTCCTTATAGAATTTGAAGCAAACACTAGACATCCTGATTTTCTGCATATTTGTTCTCTTTCTATACTATGTATGTTTAAAACTGCTAGTAGAAAAGCAACCTTTATATACAAGACATCCCAGGTAGAAAGAAAACAGAAAAAACAAAAGGGACATTGATAACAAATCTATAGGATTTCCAATTGAATTATGTTAATAAATAAATATTATTTTTTAAAAATATTATTATTGATTTCAGAGAGGAAGGGAGAGGGATAGAAACATCATTGATGAGAGAGAATCATTGATTGGCTGCCTCCTGCATGCTCCACACTGGGGATTGAGACCACAACCCGGGCATGTGCCCTTGATCAGAATCAAACCCAGGATCCTTTAGTCCGCAGGCCGACACTCTATCCACTGAGCCAAATCAGCTAGGGCTAAATACTCTTCACCCTATATAATTCAGTAACCACTTCCCAGTATTCCTAAAAAAAATGCTTTGACTTACTGGGTCAGGAACAATGAATAATGTGTTTATGTTTCTTTGAAGAAAAAAAATAGTAATTTTACCTATTCCTAGCCTTCGGTATGGTGCCAGACATCCTAGTGTCATGATGTAAAGTCTCTTCTGATTCTGTGAATGATCCACTCTACAGCATACCGCACCGACTGCAATATCATTGAAATAGGCTGCCATGGAAAACATAAAGATATAACTTTCAACGGACAGAATAACACATTTTATTATGATAAGCGAAATAAGGCAGAGAAAGGTTAAGTATCACATGATCTCACTCATATGTGGAATCTAATAAACAAAATAAACTGTTGAATAGATCCAGAGAAACAGACACATGGAACCGACTGTAGAACCTCAGAAGGGAGGTGGAGGAGGGTAGGTAGATGGGAAGATACCGGCCAAAGAACTTGTATGCATATATGCATAACCCATGGACACAGACAATAGTAGGGTGGTGAAAGCCTGGGGAGGGGGAGAGGCTAGAAGGGTCAATTGGGGGGAAAAGGAGACATATGTAATACTTTCAAAAGTAAAGTTAAAAAAAGAAAGGTCAGTCCCCTTAGATTCCCAAGCTCCAGTGGTCCTTAGAGGGAGGGAGCTAGGTGGTGGGCAGCTGGGTGGCTGACTGGGAATGGCCATTCTGTGTGCTCAGGCTTTGGCATGAGGCACCCCGCCTGAGGGCATTTCCACTGCTGCACTGAGGGGACACCCATCTTCCGCTGGACTTGGAATTCCTGGAGAGCTACGTTTGTGAACAGCTGGCAACAGTTTCTTAACTCCCATATCTTCGTTTTCCTTTGTGTTGCATTTCAGAACATCCAGAAACCATGAACATGATCAACATTAGTAAATGAAGAGTTTGACTGCCATTTCCTCGATGAAGGCTTTACTGCCATGGACATTCTGGACCAAAAAATTAATAAGTCTCTTCTTCTGATGATAAGGATGCCTTGTATGTTGCGGACCTGTGAGACTTCTAAAGAAACATCTGAAATGGTTAAAAGCTCTTCCTCGGGGTCACTGACAGCAGAACTACAATGACAGTAGAACGATAGTGAAGACCCTTAGCTGCCATTGGGACAGGATTTGTCTGTGCCAACAAAACTGGAATACAATTGATGTAGAGTTTTGGGGGGCCCCCTTATAAACAAGTGTCTCAGATTAAATATGCTGCCAATAAAGGAGTCCAGATGATCACTTTCCATAGTAAGGTCAGGTTGATGAAAGTTGCCAGGGCACATCCAAAAGCAAAGTTGGTTTTGTGGATTGCCACTAAAGATTCCAAAGCTGTCTGTCACCTCAGTGTTAAATTTGATGCCCCACTCAAAACCAGCAGCAGGCTTCTTTTGGAACAGGCAAAGGAGCTAAACATTGATGCCATCAGTGTCAGCTTCCACATGGAAGTGGCTGTACTGACCCTGAGACCTTCATGCTGGCCATCTCTGATGCCCACTGTGTCTTTGATATGGGAGCTAAGGTTGGCTTCAACATGTATCTGCTGGATATTGGTGGTGGCTTTTCTGGACCTGAGGATGCAAAGCTTAAATTTGAGATTGCTAGTGTAATCAACCCAGCCCTGGATAAGTATTTTCCATCAGACTCGGGAGTGACACTCATAGCTGAGCCAGGCAGATACTATGTTGCATCAGCTTTCACACTTGCAGTTAATATCACTGCCAAAAAAAGAACAAACAGGCTCTGATGATGAAGAGGAGTTGGGTGAAAAAACCTTTATGTATTATGTGAATGATGGAGTATATGGATCATTTAATTGCATCCTCTATGATCATGTGCACGTGAAGTCCCTTCTGCAGAAGAAGCCCAACCAGATTAGAAGTATTATTCATCCAGCATCTGGGGGCCAGCATGTGACAGCCTCCATCACACTGTAGAGCAGTGTGGCTTGCCTAAGACGCATGTGGGGGACGGGATGCTCTTTGAAAACATGCGTGTTTACACAGTTGCTGCTGCTTCTACTTTCAATGGATTCCAGAGGCCGACTATCTACTATGTGCTGTTAGGGCTCACATGGCAACTGATGCAGGAAGTCCAGAACCACGACTTCCCACTTGAGGTGGAAGAGCAGGACGCCAGTGCTCTGCCTGTGCCTTGTGCCTAGAAGAGTGGGATGAAATGCCTCCCAGCAGCCTGCACTTCAATCATTCTTGTTGCTGTTATGGGGGGGTAGCTTGACTTAAGGGATTTGAGGGGGACCATTAACTTAATTATTGCTAGTTCTGAAATGTCTTTGTAAGTGGAGATGGCACAGATGGAGCAATGTGGAAGGCCTAGGCGACGGGGTCACACTTATCTGTGTTCCTATGGAAACTATTTAAATATTTTTTTATATGGATTTTTATTCAATGTTCAAACATGCTACTACAGAATGCCCCTCAGCTGCCAGGCAAGCATTTGTAGCTTGTACATTGGCACACAGGCCAGAGGCTGTGTTGTGACCTGTTTTAACAATGAAGTACCTTGAAAATTAAGGAAATTTTTCGTGTGTCCATTCCACACGGCTTGCCTTGCATGTGTTTTTACAAGTAGGAATCCATGTTTTCATTTCCCCAACAGCTGAGAAAACTGTCCCAGAGGACTTAAGAGTTGGTGATTTTTGTTATTTTGAAACTCCATTGACATGCTTTTTCCTGTTGGGCATTTTTGTTTTAAGTACATGAGTCCTGCATAAAGTTTGCTGTGGATTCTTGAAAGGAGTAGTAGGTCTAGCCCAATGCAGGTAGAAGGAACAGGATGAATCAGAGAGGCCATGTCCTCTGCTGATGACAGTGGCCAGCATCTGCCCACCCCGAATGTCCGTAGGTGGATATGACTGGAATGTCCAGATGTCCAGAGCCCCATGTTAACTAACTGGCCTGGTTCCATCACAGCCAGTGCCCAGGGAAGGTGCACGAGGCCCTTGGAACTCTGCCCACAGAGACAAGGGACATTCCCTTCCCACCTGGACTTCACTCCAGGGCAAGTTGCATAGTTAAAAGTCAGGAATGTAGTACAGCATTTGGCAGTCATCTTATTTTAATAAATTCAGCAACAATTAAAAAACAACACCATTTATGAGGACTAAACTGTTGCTATCAGCATTAAGTTTTATCAGCTACTTTGAATTTCAACAGCTTCAAAAACCTCCTACACCTTCTTAGAAATTTAATTCTCATCTAGATTAAAGCGAAATATGGGAAATCACACAGGCACACACTAAATAAAAGATGTAGCATTTCCATTTAAATTTCAAGTATTCTGCCTTGATTTCTCTGAGATTTTTCTCAGAATCTGGAGCACTTCCATTTCTTCACTTATAAAATAAGAAGATTAAACCTTCCTTCTCTGCTATTAAAAACTAAGGGTCAAGAACATAAATAAACAAATGAAGAAAAAAACCATATACCAAGTTTTGCTAGCTCGCCAACCTCCAGCACATCCTTGTAGAACTTGTCATTGTAGCTGACTGGAAAGATGACCTGGTTTAATCTCTTCAGCTGCTTAATATTGTGTGGTGTCACATCTCCCAGCTCGATCCGGCTACTGGAACAAACCAAAATGTACTCAATAAAATATAATTGGCTACATTTGTTAAAATGAACATATTAAAAAGGTACCAAATCTTTTTTACATGATTAAAAAATTTAATCTTTTTACAGTAACTTTTTATTTCTATGAAGATTAATACTATTTATAAGCAGATTTTGCCAGTCATTACATCGAGATTCAACTCATAGTTTTTACACACTTGTATACATTTAGAGACAAATACAGTAAACAAATATTAAGAAGTTCAGAACAGAAAAATTCAAGGTCTGGACAGAGGAACCAAGATGGCGGCATAGGTTAAACGCCGGAGTTTGCTGCCTCGAACAACCACTTCAAAAATACAACTAAAAGACGGAACGGACATCACCCAGAACCACAGGAATGCTGGCTGAGGAGAGATTCTACAACTAGAAGGAAAGAGAAATCCATACCGAGACTCAGAGGAGGCGCAGTGCGGAGGTGAAATACTAAGGTTTGGAGTGCATGTGGAGCGGGCCGGCGGCGGAGGGCGCGGTTGCTGTTTTCAATAGGGAGGGAGTTTCAGACTCTGAGCTCCAGATCCGGGCGAGTCTCTAGGGACCCAGACTCAAACGGGAGAAGCGAGAAGGCAGCTTTCGCAGAGCCGCTGGGGACGGAACTGAGAGCAGCCATAACTGCTCGCTCCGCCCACCCTGTAGATCCCCTGGGACCCGCCCCGCCCCGCCCAAGCCCTGCATAGAAGCATTTGCCGGATAGCCTCAGGCAAAGGTTAGATTAGCACCACCCTAGAGATTCAGCACAGAAGCTCTCCCACTGCAGACACAGCTGACTCTCATAGCCAGTTAGCCTGGAGGTCAATTCACCCCTAGTATTGCCGACAACAATCAAGGCTTAACTACAATAAGACTGCGCACAAAGACCACAAGGGGGTGCACCAAGAAAGCATAAAAAATGCGGAGACAAAAAAACATGACAGAAATGGAGGATATAGAGCTAAAAAACGCACTTTTGAGGGCTTTCAATAATTTGCTAGAAACTGCCGATAAACTTGATGAGAGCCTCAAGAAATCTAATGAGACCCTCGATGCTGTGATAAAGAACCAACTAGAAATTAAGCATTCACTGGCTGAAATAAAGAATATTATACAGACACACAACAGCAGACCAGAGAAGCGCAAGAATCAAGTCAAAGATTTGAAATGCGAAGAAGCAAAAAACATCCAACCGGAAAAGCAAAATCAAAAAAGAATCCGAAAATACGAAGATAGTGTAAGGAGCCTCTGGGACAGTTTCAAATGCACCAACATCAGAATTATAGGGGTGCCAGAAGAAGAGAGACAGCAAGATATTGAAAACCTATTTGAAGAAATAATGACAGAAAACTTCCCCCACCTGGTGAAAGAAATGGACTTACAGGTCCAAGAAGCACAGAGAACCCCAAACAAAAGGAATCCAAAGAGGACCACACCAAGGCACATCATAATTAACCCTTTGCACTCCGAACCATTCTGGACATTGGCTACCAGCTACTCGACGCTACTTTGCGGCGGAAACGTGCATTTACAGACCCTCGTATTATTTAGTATAATTTTGGAACCAAGTACCGTATTATAATGATATTGGACTTATATGAATTGGGTGACATCGAGGAATGTATATTTGCAAAAAAAACAATATTTTATTGTTTATAATTTTGTACAGTATGATAAGTTTTGTAACACTCCCCAATATGCATTGCAGGCTGATTAGTGCATGTTTGACAGTAATAAGTGGTTTGACGCCTGCCACCAGGTGTTTTCCTGTTAGAACACACACTGCAGTCCCATTTCTTTGTCCCACATCGGGAATATGTAGTTTATTGTTTAATCCGACACAAAACCCGCTGACATTTCTTGTATATATCTTAGTAATTTTACGATATTTTGATTTAATTTCTTGGCCATTTCAAGATAAAACTTCAGGGAAACATGCATGTCTCAAAAAGTTGCGTTGAAATAACTCAATTCCCCGTAATCACTAATAAACTGCAATGTCCCCTGAGAGGGGGCATCCGAGTGATATGCTAGAATGCCGATGTCCCCTGAGAGGGGACAGCGGAGTGCAAAGGGTTAAAATGCCAAGAGCAAAAGACAAAGAGAGAATCTTAAAAGCAGCAAGAGAAAGAAACTCAGTTACCTACAAGGGAATACCCATACGACTGTCAGCTGATTTCTCAACAGAAACTTTGCAGGCCAGAAGGGAATGGCAAGAAATATTCAAAGTGATGAATACCAAGAACCTACAACCAAGATTACTTTATCCAGCAAAGCTATCATTCAGAATTGAAGGTCAGATAAAGAGCTTCACAGATAAGGAAAAGCTAAAGGAGTTCATCACCACTAAACCAGTATTATACGAAATGCTGAAAGGTATCCTTTAAGAAGAGGAAGAAGAAGAAAAAGGTAAAGATACAAATTATGAACAACAAACATGCATCTATCAACAAGTGAATCTGAGAATCAAGTGAATAAATAATCTGCTGTACAGAATGAACTGGTGATTATAGTGAATCAGGGACATAGAAAGGGAATGGACTGACTATTCTTGGGGGGGAAAGGGGAGTGGGAGATGCGGGAAGAGACTAGACAAAAATCGTGCACCTATGGATGAGGACAGTGGGTGGGGAGTGAGGGCGGAGGGTGGGGTGGGAGCTGGGAGGAGGGGAGTTATGGGGGGAAAAAAAAGAGGAACAAATGTAATCTGAACAATAAAGATTTAATAAAAAAAAAAAAGTTCAGAATTATATGCTATATAAATGCCAAAGTTTTCCTTGTCGTCTCTGGTTCAGAAAATTTAAAAACATCTCTTACTGATCAAAAAGAATGATGATTGATGATATCTAATATTGGCAAGATGGTAGCAAATGGGATTCTTATACTCTTCTGATGGGAATGTCAGTGGCTATATCTTTAGAAAACAATCTAGCCGAAACCGGTTTGGCTCAGTGGATAGAGTTCGGCCTGCGGACTGAGGGGTCCCGGGTTCGATTCCGGTCAAGGGCATGTACGTTGGTTGCGGGCACACCCCCAGTGGGGGATGTGCAGGAGGCAGCTGGTGGATGTTTCTCTCTCATCGATGTTTCTGACTCTCTATCCCTCTCTCTTCCTCTCTGTAAAAAATCAATAAAATATATTAAAAAAAAAAAAAAAAAAGAAAACAATCTAACACTATATATCAAAAATTCTAAAAAGGTATCTCCTTTCTCCAACTAATTCCACTCTAGAAATTTATTCTAAGAATATAATCCAAAATTATAGTAACAGAGCTGCCAACAAAAAAAATATTTTTAATAGCTCAAGTCAATTTTACTACCATAAAGGTTGATCAAATGGGATAAGACAAACCTGAACAAACAGCATCTACATAATTTTTCTTCCTACTATCATTAACAATATCATTAGTAAAGTTGCTTATATACATTGTCTTCTTAAAAATTTTAACAGGTGATAAAAACATTAAAAGAAAACATCAAATAAAAATGAGTTAAAAAATAAAACAATCTGATACCAACCAAGCAGCTAGAAAACTATGTAGATCCTACCTACTCGTTCAGTGCTAGTTCCAGATCACAATGACATTGGTCAACAGCAGGAAATACAAACAATACACCCTAATTCAGCAGTCACCAACCTTTTGGACCTCATGGACCACCAGTGGCCCGTGGATCACCAGTTGGCGACCGCTTCCCTAATTAATCATTTGCAATACAGGCACATAGATTTTTAAAACTCTGTTGGAGACATGGCTAAACAAAAATGTTGCTCATCACACTTTTATAACAGCAAACAAAACTAAACAAAACAAAAAACTGAGTGTCATCACAAGGGAACTGGCTAAATAAAGCATGAACATTAATATACTAGAGGCCCCGCGCACAAAATTCATGTGCGGGTACAGCCCCTAGGCCTGGCCTAGATCAGGACCATCTTCCCCCCAATCAGGCGACTGGAGCCTGCTAGCCGGGGAAAGGGACCAAGAGGTGGTCAGTGTGCCTCATAGTGACTGGTCCAGCAGTCATTCTGCTGTTAGGATCAATTTGCATATTACCCTCTTATCAGTACAGAAAGACAGTGCTGATATATTGTTTTACGGGGTGAAAAGCATATTCCAACTACATATTCCAACTACATATACATACTAGTATATATGTATACTAGAGACCCGATGCATGAAATTCATGCAAGAGTAGGCCTTTTTTCCCCCTGGCTGCCGACACCAGCTTCCCTCCGGCACCCGGGACCCAGGCTTCCCTCACAGCCCTGGCTTCGTCCAGAAGGTTGTTCATTCTAATTAGCATATTGCATTTTTATTATTATAGATATAAAAATTATGATCTACGTTTTATTAATACATACAAAAATGTTTAAAGCATATTCCAAAAGACCCTGGCTGGGTAGTTCAGTAGGTTAAGAGCGTCATCCTGATATGCCAAGGTTGCAGGTTAGATCTCCAGTCAGGGCACATAAAAGAAGCAACCACTGAATACATAAACAAGTGGGACAACAAATAGAGATTTCTCTCTCCCCCTAATATCCATCAATCAATAAAAAAAATTTAAAAGCATATTCCAAAGAACGTGGTCAAAATTGTAGGTAATTTTTAACACAACATCCTCTGAAATATTAAAATTTAGATAATTAGAAAACAATAAAATGTATTACAGTTCTTAAAAAAAAAACAACTCTCCCCTCCTTCCCCATTACAGACCATTATGTTCATTTGGAACTTTAGCCTTCTGTCTCAATTCTTTCTTTTTTATTTTGTTTTACATTTAATTGCGAGCAACTACCCTTGAACATCTTGTATGTCTTCTTAAAATCTGAACATTTTACCCCAAACCTTTTCATTATTAAAATGTAGTGGGCTCACATACCTACCATTTACCATTCACAATTTTTTTTTTATTGGCAGATACCGATTGTTATGTTATAAAATACAGGATTCCTTAAAATATAGGATCACATCTTATATAAATACTAGTGGCCTGGTGCACAGATTCACGTACATTGCAAGGGAATCTGGTGCAGGTGAACCAGATTCGGGGCTGACTAGGCCCCAGCAGCAACCTAACCTACCAGTCAGAGCGTCTGCCCCCTGGTGGTTATAACTATATATATATATATATATACACACACACACACACACACACACACATTTATAAATGTTATTTTTTAAAAGAATTTCTCCCATTTAATTAACACATCCATCACCTCACATTGTTATCATTTTTGATGTGTGGGAACATTTAAGTTCTACTTTCTTAGCAAATTTCAATTATATAATACAGTGTTAACTATAGTCACCGTATTTTACATTAGATCATCAGACCTTATGCATTTTGTAGCTAAAAGTTTGTACCTTTGTACCAATCTCTCCCTACTTCCTTACCCTGGCAACCACTTTTCTACTGTTTGAGATTTTTCTTAGATTCCATATGTAAGTGATACCATGCAATACTTGCCTTTCTGTCTTTTTTTAAGGTTCCACATACAAGTGATACCATGCATCATAATGCTATTCTTCAACTTAGTATATAGCACTACAAACTGGGTACAGTAATTTCTTTAACTATAATATAGCTTCATCAGTTATATTTATAGCACACTACCTAAAAATCACTCTAATGCACTTAAAAAAAATTTTAGTCTCTGGCCTTGGCTGGGTGGCTCAGTTGGCTGGAGCATCATCCCGCACACCAAAATGTGGTGCGTTCGATACCCAGTCAGGGCACATACAGGAGGCAATTAATTGATGTTTCTCTCTCTCTGTCTCCCCCTTCCTCTCTCTCTCAAATCAATAAACATTCTCAGGTGAGGATTAACAACAACAATACACAAAAAAATTTAGCTTCTGTATTTTAAAAGTGATCGAGCCTGGCAGGTGTGTGGCTTAGTAGTTAAGTGTTGATGTATGAACCACGAAGTTGAGGTTCCATTCCCAGTGGGGGGGTGGGGGGGGGGATGGGCATGTAGGAGGCAGCCTATCGGTGATTCTCTCTCGTCATTGATGTTTCTGTTTCTCTTTCTCCCTTCCTCTCTGAAATCAATTAAAAAATATATATATTTTTAAAAAGTTATTAAGCCCTGGCCAGTGTGCTCAGTGTTTAGTGTCGGCCTGCACAGTGAAGGGGCCGCAATCGATGTGTCTCTCTCACATTGATGTTCCCCTCTCTCCATACCCCTCCTTTTCCACTCTCTCTATAAATTAATGGAAAAAATATCGTTGGGTGACGATTAACAACAACAAGAAAAAGCAATTGAAAAATACATTATGAAGTTCAATACTAAACAATAATAAAGAAAAAATTAAAAAACCCAGAAGTCAAGCTTCTAAATTATAAGTGAAAGAACTTCAATTAAAAAAAATTTTAAGAATTATTTCTGGGTAATCACCAGGATTCATATATAATAGTATTTATAATTTTTAAAAGGATCAAAACCAGGTCTTTCTTGTCTTTATACAGAAGGAGAAGGTGGTTAAAGTGCAGTGTGCTAGACGAATCTAATAAAAGTTAACTACTAAAAAAAAGTTTTCACTGGGGTAGACAGATCAAAGCCTAAATATAGAACACAATATTGAATCATTAGGGAATAGGCAGTTTAATCTTTCCTTGCATAATTTTAAAATATACATGTTTTGATTTACTAAATAAAACAGAAAAAAAACAGGCTATTACCATAGAAATTACTTAGGAAATGAAAATATCCTATAAGATTTAGACCAGAAATAACTGATATATAGTCTTTCAATATTTTCTATAGACAAACAGGCAGATACATACATATTTTAAAACAGAATTTTAAAACTATAATAGAATTGTTTGGTAGCTATTTAAGAAAGGAATTAAGCAAGTTTGATTATTAATAGACTGCCAGAATATGCTATGAACAGAATTTTAAAGTGGCTATTAAATGTAACTGTCAGCAAACTTCACCTTCAAATACAGTTTAACTCTGATTGAAATGGAATACTTCTGTAATCCTGATCACTTAGCTCTGAATTATTTTAAGAAGTGGATATTCTAAATATAGCAGAGTAGCCCTGGCTGGTTTGGCTCAGTGGATAGAGCGTCGGCCTGTGGACTGAAGGGTCCCAGGATTGATTCCGGTCAGGGACACATGCCCGGGTTGTGGGTTCGGTTCCCATTGCGGGGAGGGCGGCCGATCAATGATTCTCGCTCATCATTGATGTTTCTCTCTCTCTCCCTCTCCCTTCCTCTCTGAAGTCAATAAAAATACATACATACATACATACATAAATAAAGCAGAGTAATATTACCAACTTATATAATTTAGCAAAGAATGTGTAGTATCAAAGGCATAAACATAGAGGGCTATGTAGAAATATTAAGAAAACAAGAACATCACTTGAATAGAGCTTTAAAGAATTCTAACTGTAGATCTAAAATTTTCTAGAGTTCTCACAAACATCAAAGTTGCTTACTCAAAGCATAAATCAGTTATTTCAATATATGAACACCTATGTGCTAACACCTGGAATGCAAAGGACTTTACACCTAAGCATATATAATACAATATGCTAGTAATAGCACATGCACACAAAGTATAAAAATAATACTAGAAATGATCCTGAGAAAGGTTGTGAAGGATGACTAGGAGTTTGTTTTGTGGGAGGGCAAAAAATGCATTCTAAGGAAAGGGTAGAACATGAACAAAACAGCAATTATGAATTCCCAAAACTATAGGCAATGTAATACAGTAAGACAAAGTATGTGTTGTGTAAATGTGGAAGCTGGGGTTGGAGAGGAAGGAGAACAAATTTTATGAGGACTTGCACATCAAGATAGTATGCTTCGTGTATTTTCAAGTTACGTTATTAAGAGCATAAACATTTAGGACTGTTATGATTTGATCCTTTTATCTTTTTTTGCTGTACTAGTCCTTATCTTTTTTTTAAAAAAAATATATTTTATTGATTTTTTACAGAGAGGAAGGGAGAGAGATAGAGAGTTAGAAACATCGATGAGAGAGAAACATCGATCAGCTGCCTCCTGCACACCCCCTACTGGGGATGTGCCTGCAGCCAAGGTACATGCCCTTGCCCGGAATCGAACCTGGGACCTTTCAGTCCGCAGGCCGATGCTCTATCCACTGAGCCAAACCGGTTTCGGCTAGTCCTTATCTTAAAACCTACTTTGGCCTGGCTAGCACATCACAGTTCAATTCCCAGTCAGGGCACATGCTGGGTTACATGCTCAATCTTCAGTGTGGGGAGTGTGGAAGGCAGCTAATCAATGATTCTCTGTCATCACTATTTCTAAGTCTCTCTCCCTCCCTCTCCCTTCTTCTTTAACATACGATTTTCTTTTAATCAATGTCCCATAGTTTATCTTTTAGCATACTTTTAACTTTTTTTGTGTGCTTATATTTGTAAACAGTATGTAAACAGTATGTACTTAAGAGTCTTATTCCTTTAATCTGATAATTGGAGCATTTACTCTGTTTAGATTTAAGGTAATTATTAATGGGGTCTATTCAAACCCATCAGTAATTTTCTATTTCTATCAACTATTAGCTGTCCCTCGATTTTTCAGCCTTATTAGGGGGTCAATTTTCTTAGCTTTTATTTATTTTTAAAATCATGTTATATTTTCCAATTACAGTTGACATATAATGTATCATCAGTTTCAGGTGTATACCTCAGTGAGTAGACATTATATAACTAAGCAATCATCCTGATAAATCTTGTATCACCTGACACCATACATAGTTATTAGATTATTATTGACTATACTAGAGGCCCAGTGCATGGATTTGTGCAGCGGTGGGGTCCCTCAGCCTGGCCTGCGCCCTCTTGCAATTCGGGACCCCTCAGGAGATGTTGGACTGTCAGTTTCAGCCGGCAACCTGCAGTCCAGCATCCCCCAAGGGATGCAGTAGTATGCGAAGCAGCAGGCAGTCGGGGAGGAG